GGGGGGGCTCTCTGCAGTGGGGCAGCGCCGCTGCCCCGCCCCCCCCCCCCCCAAGCGCCACTGAGCTCAGCCCCCAGTCTGGCCACAGCATCCCATTCTCCCAGCCCCCAGGACACCTCCCAAAACGCCACCACCTATATGTACATATATACGACAAAACCCCAAAACACGAGGTATATAAAAATTCAAGGCGGGGACGCCCCCATACGAACAGTTCAAGGAACCCACTACAGGGGGGGTGGGAGATAGGCCAGGAAATGTGCCCCTCCCCCCACTTCCTACCACCCACCGGCCCCTCCCTGGCACGGGGTGGGGGTGAGCAGCCCAGACAAGTGGACCCTGCAGGGCACAGCTCAGACACAGCCAAGAGGAGAAGGGGGCACAGGGCTGGGGGGCCAGCCGAGGCAGGAAAGGGCCCCCCCCAACCTCCGTGGACACAAGTGACCAGTGAGGAGGTACCAGACAGGACAAATGAACAAACAGACGGCTGAGGGATGAGGCAGAGCGAGGGGGACTCCCATGGCCCCTGCTCCCACCCCAGGCCAGGTCACAGCCCCAGATGGGTGTCAGGGGAATCAGGCCAGGCTGGGACCGTCCAATGGATGAGGAGGGAGGGGAGCCTAGTACCCCCCAAGCCCTCAGCATGGTGGCAGTGGGGATAGGACACCAGCCGGAGGGGACAGCCAGGCCAGCGTGAAGCCCCACGGCTCTGTGGGGAAGGCTCCCTCCCCGCAGGAGTGAAGGGGATGGCCAAAAGGACCTTCTCCCACATTCCCGGCCAGCCTGGGGATGCTCCCACTGGGCAGGTGCCACCAGGAGCAGGGGGCTCCAGGTGCCCCTGCAAAGCACCCATGCGGGTTTCTCCAGCAGCTTTATCCTTGGGGGGGCGCGGCATGGGTGCCCCTTCCCTTGCCTCCCTGCCACGGTCTCAGTCCTTCTCCTGCGCCAGGCTCTCCTCCGTGATGCCCTGGGCCGCGAGCTCGGCCAGGACATTGTCCAAGTAGTTGATGTCAGGGTAGCCATGGCCAGTGAGGTTGGAGCCGAACTCTGTCTTGTGGTGGATCTCATTCCAGATCACCGTGTCCGACTCGCCTGTGGTGCTGGAGGTCCCAATGGCAAAGATCAAGCGCCGGTCCCAGGCTACCAGCAGCAACTTCAGTACCTTTGGAGGGGAGAGATGAGGCAGGCAGCAGGGCAAATGCGGCAGGGAAGCACCCACTTCTGCTCAAGGCACGCCTGATCATCCTGGTATGCCCTGGCAATGTGGGCAACCCACAGCCAAGCCCTCCCAGGGAGCTCGGGATCCCAGCATGGGGTGCTACCCCAACCAAAATAGTGGGACAAGGCTGCAGAGCTTCCCCAGCACATGGGAATGTTGCTGGGCTCCTGCAGAGCATGCCAGATGAGCTACGGGGAAAACCTCCACCCAGATTTGCCTGCATAAGCCCTATCTGCTTTTCCCCATGCTCCAAATAGCTGCTCGCTCCCTCTCCCCCTCGATATGCCCTTGAGCATGCCTTGGCCAGCTCAAGCCACCCAGGTGAGCCCCTCACCTTTCTGCCCTTCTCACTGTCTGGCAGGTAGCAGTGCCGGGGGAAGCCGCGGGCGGTGAAGCTCTTCCCAGGGTTTGGATGCTCTGGTCCCTGCAGCGTGTGGAGTGGGAGAGGAACAAAACCCTTTTGGAGCTCAGAAGGATGCTCTGGGCATAAGGTAACCCCCAACCTCAGTGGACGCAGAGCTGCTTACTGCTGTGCTGGGCGGCCATGCTCCAGCATGGTGGCCCTAAATGCCACCGTCCCCCCTACCACCAAGCAGACGGGGCCAACACTGTCATGCAGATGTACCCGACTTCCCACAATATCCTTACAGACACGCAGCTCCTGAGACATCATTGAACCCAGAGCCCCGAGACAAGGCATGAGCTGCAGCATGACCCGGGGGTGATGCAGCAGTGACAAGGGCCACCAGCCCCCACAGGGGACCACCCATGTACCTCCCTGGGCATAGGACTGGGCCGCACCTGCACCCCTGGGGGGATGTTGTAGATGATGCGGATGGTTTTGCAGTCAGAGTGGCCAGGCAGCGTGTGAGGGATGATGTGATATTCCATCTTCCCCGGGGGCTGTGTCCCAGTCTTCACCCCGTAGATGGTTTTGCAGGTGGGACACTGCAGGCTCCCATCCTGAGAGCAGGAAAAGAGGAGAATATAATGAAACTGGTATCCCCCAGCACTGAGCCAGACCAGGCGCTTCATCCCTGAGCAGCACTGAACGTCATTTTCATCATGAAAACAGTCATTTCAAAAACACTTAGAAAGTAGGGGGTAGGGCTGTGAGAATTTGCTACGGCAACCCAACTTTAACCAAAAACCTGAGGTCTGCATTTCTTTTCCTCATCAGTTTCTTTTTTTTGGAGGTCTGCAGTTCTTTTCCTCATCAGTTTCTCAGTTCCCTCTACTTTCCCTGCCTCTGTTTTGGGGTTTTTATTTTTTTTTTTCAAAGAGGGAAAGATAATAAATAATAAAAAACCCCAAGCAATGTGAAATGCATTTTCCTGGGAATATCGAGCACAAGGACCATTTGCAGGGGGCTCAGGAAAGCCCACCTGCAGCTGGAAAGGCACTGCCCAGCGCCAGATGCCAGGTAGCTCTGCTCAGACATGCAGGGATCAAAGTCTACCACCACTAACCCTGAGAAGGAAAGCAAGGACGTAAACCCAGGCATGGTGGGGGAAAAAACATCCATGCAACCCTGGTTTCTGATTTAGAGGTCCCAAAGTGCTTGCTGCTGATAAAAATTAAACTCTGTCAAGGGCGGGGAGGTCAGAGCCCTCCAGGGCAGCAGGACTCAAGCACTGTCCCACTGAGGGCAGGTGGAGCTCAGCACAGGTTGCCGAGCTGGGGGCTTGGGCATCCCCCAGGGCTGCAGCCTTGCACCTTGTTGCCGTTGTTGTACATGGCGACCAGGCAGTGGAGATGGAAGACATGGCCACACTTCACCAGCTTCCCCACCAGGTCAGGCTTGAGGGCTGGCTGGGGTCCCTTGTAGCCGGAGGGTGCAGAGAGGCGCTCCATGCAGATGGTGCAGTCCTGCACAGAAGGGGAGGAGAGGGGTCAGATGGACGGATGCAGCCAGAGCCTCACCGAGGACATGGGGCTGATGAGCTGCCCTGCTCTTACCCAGGGACCAGCACCCACCCCGGCACCACGCCGTCACCCTGGGCCACTGCAGGGGCTGGCCAACACATGCGTGAGGCACACAGCCCCTCTTCAGAGGGGGATGGGGACAGGGAAGAGCCATGAGGGGCAGCAGGAGACCCCTGCATGGCATGGGGGCATCGCCCGCGTCCCCAGTCACTCCTCCCACAGCAAAGCACCCCAGGGACACCCCAGCGTGACCCCCACTGCTTGCACCTCATCCGGCGGATGCCGCACCTTCTGCAGGTATTTTTTCAGTACCTCCTCCGGAGTTTTACCTGTGGGAGAGCAAAAGTCAGAGGGGCTGGAGGGCAGCACAGGGGAAACCCACTGCTGGGAGCAGTGGGAGGAGACAGGGGAACCAGGTAGGGAAGTGGGGACAGGAACAGGGGTCTAGTGACAAAGTGCCTCTCACCCTTCTTGGCCTGTTTCTTGGTGGTCTTGCGGCAGGTGTGGGAGATGCCAGGGATGGACTGGATCTCACTTTTGCTGACAGGTGGGGGGTGCAGCACCAGCTTGGGGGGCCGTGTCAGGCAGACGGGCAGCCCAGCTGCACTCATTAGGATCCCCGTGATCCCTGGGCAAGGAGGTTCGAAATGGCACTGAGGAACCAGTGTCACCCCAAACCCCAGATGTTCTCCCAAAAACCACCCCGCTGGGGCTGACTGCCCCCCGGGGAGGCCAGCACACATGGGCACCAGGCGCCCTGCTGCAGCCCCATCCTCACCTGCCAGTGCTGGGTTGACGGGACTGGAGCCAGTGAGGTTCTTCACAGGGACAGTGGGGACACTGCAAGGAGCCAGCAGAGACCACGTCAGGGCCGGTGGCAGACACCCACATCCCCGCAGCCCCTGGGGGCCGGCAGGGGCCAGACAATAGTTGCCTGAGCAACCGCACGGGCCCTGGCTGGAAACAGAGAATCCCCCAACAGGGTGACATGCCCCCACTGCCGCCTTTTCTCTTGCTCTTTAGAAACCCCGCCTGCATCTCCATTCACAGCCCCTTTTTGTCACCGCTCCCCGGGCTGGTCTGTTGGTTTTTTTTTTCTCTTTTCTCCTACAGCCACGTCAGTGCCACAGCTCTTTCCCCCCCTCCCCTTGGGGCTCTCTTCCATGGGAAAGTTTCCCAGCAGGTCAGGAGCGGAGGGAAGGGGGAGGATGGAGAAGGAGAGGAAAGGGGCCAGGCTGCGACAGAAGGCTGACAGCAGAGCCAGACAAAGGGGAGAAACAGGCTCATTAAACACCCCCCCCCTTGAAAAAAAAGTGTCTTCGGAGGGCGGGGGTCTGGAGGGACCCCTTCTCATGGGGCCTGAACGGCTTTTCTTTGGGCCTTTCGCAGTCCCCCACCCATCCCCTGCCACCAAGAGAAAGAGCAGCCTCAGCCTCCTCATTGAGATGCAGGAGCCACCCCATCCTTGCTCCAGTCCCCAGGCACCCGCAGGGAAGGAGAGGGGCCCAGCAGAGCCCTTTGCCCATGGGAGGTTGGGGACTGCCGAGGTCCATCTCCCACCAGGCCCAGGGGTGATAGCACCCCTGCAGGGGGGAGCCCCACAGGGCTGCAGTCCCTCTGTGCCCTGGGGAGGAGAAAAAAAATTGCACTGCACCTGTTCTCCCCCCAACTACCCTCTCGCTCGCACACGGCAGGACTCACCCAGAGGCAATGAGTACCCGGGACTGAGCGATGGCCAGGCGCTGGAGGTGGCTGCGGTTCAGGGTGCCGAGGCCAGGACGGGATGCCTTGCCACTGCCCGTGCCAGGGGGGCTGGTGGTGGAGCTGGCTGATCT